AAAATCAAAGAAACACATCAACAATAATACAATAATAGAAGGGGACTTTAACACTCCCCTCACTGAAATGGACAGATCATCCAAGCAAAAGATCAGCAAGGAAATAAAGGCCTTAAGTGACACACTGGACCAGATGGACATCACAGATATATTCAGAACATTTCATCCCAAAGCAACAGAATACACATTCTTCTCTAGTGCACATGGAACATTCTCCAGACTAGATCACATCCTGGGTCCTAAATCAGGTCTCAACCGGTATCAAAAGATTGGGATCATTCCCTGCATATTTTCAGACCACAATGCTCTGAAGCTAGAACTCAATCACAAGAAGAAATTTGGAAAGAACCCAAATACATGGAGACTAAACAGCATCCTTCTAGAGAATGAATGGGTCAACCAGGAAATTAAAGAATAATTGAAAAAATTCCTGGAAACAAATGATAATAAAAACACAACGGTTCAAAATCTGTGGGACACAACAAAGGCAGTCCTGAGAGGAAAATATGTAGTGGTACAAGAAACAAGAAAGGTCTCAGGTACACAACCTAACCCTACACCTAAAGGAGCTGGAGAAAGAGCAAGAAAGAAACCCTAAACCCAGCAGGAGAAGAGAAATCATAAAGATCAGAGCAGAAATCAATGAAATAGAAACCAAAAAAAACCAATAGAACAAATCAACGAAACTAGGAGCTGGTTCTTTGAAAGAATTAATAAGATTGATAAACCCCTGGCCAGACTTATCCAAAAGAAAAGAGAAAGGACCCAAATCAATAAAATTATGAATGAAAGAGGAGAGATCACAACTAACACCAAAGAAATACAGATAATTATAAGAACATACTATGAGCAACTCTACGCCAACAAATTTGACAATCTGGAAGGAATGGATGCATTCCTAGAGACACAACTGAACCAAGAAGAAATAGAAAGCCTGAACAGACCCATAACCAGTAAGGAGATTGAAACAGTCATCAAAAATCTCCAAACAAACAAAAGCCCAGGGCCAGACAGCTTCCCGGGGGAATTCTACCAAACATTTAAAGAAGAACTAATTCCTATTCTCCTGAAACTGTTCCGAAAAATAGAAATGGAAGGAAAACTTCCAAACTCATTTTATGAGGCCAGCATCCCCTTGATCCCCAAACCAGACAAGGATCCCACCAAAAAAGAGAACTACAGACCAATATCCTTGAAGAACACAGATGCGAAAATTCTCACCAAAATACTAGCCAATAGGATTCAACAGTACACTAAAAGGATTATTCACCATGACCAAGTGGGATTTATTCCAGGGCTGCAAGGTTGGTTCAACATTCACAAATCAATCAATGTGATACAACACATTAATAAAAGAAAAGACAAGAACCATATGATACTTTCAATAGTTGCTGAAAAAGCATTTGACAAAGTCCAGCATCGTTCCTGATCAAAACTCTTCAAAGTGTAGGGATAGAGGGCATATACCTCAATATCATCAAAGCCATCTATGAAAAACCCACCGCAAATATCGTTCTCAATGGGGAAAAACTGAAAGCTTTTCCTCTAAGGTCACGAACACGGCAGGGATGTCCGTTATCACCACTGCCATTCAACATAGTACTAGAAGTCCTAGCCTCAGCAATCAGACAACAAAAGGAAATTAAAGGCATCCAAATCGGCAAAGAAGAAGTCAAATTATCACTCTTTGCAGATGATATGATACTGTATGTGGAAAACCAAAAAGACTCCACTCCAAAACTGCTAGAACTTGTACAGGAATTCAGTAAGTGTCATTGATATAAAATCAATGCACAGAAATCAGTTGCATTTCTCTACACCAACAACAAGACAGAAGAAAGAGAAATTGAGGAGTCAATCCCATTTACAATTGCACCCAAAACCATAAGATACCTAGGAATAAACCTAACCAAAGAGGCTAAGTATCTATACTCAGAAAACTATAAAGTACTCATGAAAGAAATCTAGGGAGACACAAAGAAATGGAAAAATGTTCCATGCTCCTGGATTGGAAGAATAAATATTGTGAAAATGTCTATGCTACCTAAAGCAATCTACATATTTAATGCAATTCCTATCAAAATACCATCCATTTTGTTCAAAGAAATGGAACAAATAATCCTAAAATTTATATGGAACCAGAAAAGACCTCGAATAGCCAAAGGAATATTGAAAAAGAAAGCCAAAGTTGGTGGCATCACAATTCCGGACTTCAAGCTCTATTACAGAGCTGTCATCATCAAAACAGCACAGTACTGGCATAAAAACAGACACATAGATCAATGGAACAGAATAGAGAGCCCAGAAATAGACCCTCAATTCTATGGTCAACTAATCTTCGACAAAGCAGGAAAGAATGTCCAATGGAAAAAAGACAGCCTCTTCAACAAATGGTGTTGGGAAAATTGGACAACCACATACAGAAAAATGAAATTGGACCATTTCCTTACACCACACACGAAAATAGACTCAAAATGGATGAAGGACCTCAATGTGAGAAAGGAATCCATCCAAATCCTTGAGGAGAACACAGGCAGCAACCTCTTCAACCTCAGCCGCAGCAACATCTTCCTAGGAACATCGCCAAAGGCAAGGGAAGCAAGGGCAAAAATGAACTATTGGGATTTCATCAAGATCAAAAGCTTTTGCACAGCAAAGGAAACAGTTAACAAAACCGAAAGACAACTGACAGAATGGGAGAAGATATTTGCAAATGACATATCAGATAAAGGGCTAGTGTCCAAAATCTATAAAGAACTTAGCAAACTCAACACCCAAAGAACAAATAATCCAATCAAGAAATGGGCAGAAGATATGAACAGACATTTCTGCAAAGAAGACATCCAGATGGCCAACAGACACATGAAAAAGTGCTCCACATCACTCGGCATCAGGGAAATACAAATCAAAACCACAACGAGATAGTACCTCACACAAGTCGGGATGGCTAAAATTAACAAGTCAGGAAATGACAGATGCTGGCGAGGATGCGGAGAAAGGGGAACCCTCCTACACTGTTGGTGGGAATGCAAGCTGGTGCAACCACTCTGAAAAACAGCATGGAGGTCCTCAAAATGTTGAAAATAGAACTACCCTATGACCCAGCAATTGCACTACTGGGTATTTACCCTAAAGATACAAATGTAGTGATCCGAAGGGGCACGTGCACACAAATGTTTATAGCAGCAATGTCTACAATAGCCAAACTATGGAAAGAACCTAGATGTCCCTCAACAGATGAATGGATAAAGAAGATGTGGTATATATACACAATGGAATACTATGCAGCCATCAAAAGAAATTAAATCTTGCCATTTGCGACGACGTGGATGGAACTAGAGGGTATCATGCTTAGCAAAATAAGTCAATCGGAGAAAGACAACTATCATATGATCTCCCTGATATGAGGAAGTGGAGATGCAACATGGGGGTTAAGGGGGTAGGAGAAGAATAAATGAAACAAGATGGGATTGGGAGGAAGACAAACCATAAGTGACTCTTAATCTCACAAAACAAACTGAGGGTTGCTGGGGGGAAGGGGGGTGGGGTTATGGACATTGGGGAGGGTATGTGCTATGGTGAGTGCTGTGAAGTGTGTAAACCTGGCGATTCACAGACCTGTACCCCTGGGTATAAAAATATATTATATGTCTATAAAAAATAAAAAAATAAAAATCAATAAAAAATTAAAAAATAAAAAAAATAAAAGAATTGGGTACAGTGTGTTTGAATTTTTTGTCTAGTCCTCTGGAGAATTAAGTGAAGTAAATCATCCCAAGTCACAGAGTCTCTTGCAGAACGTAATTTAGCTCTTGACTTGTGGCATCCAGAGCCTTGGTGAACTCCATGAAACCACTCTTTGGCCATCCCTGTATGGCTTCTCGTTGCATAGAGGAGCTCTAGACTAGAAGCACTGAGATGCCAGTTTTTATTTCCAATCAGTGTGAACTGATAACTTTATTGATAAAATCCAATAAAAACAAATATTGTAAAAATGAAGTTAAGAAAGACCTACAAACAGCTGTCCCAAGTTTTTATTATTAGGTTTAACAGACATAAAATTATTTTGTTAAATTGCTTTAAGCCTTTTAAAATTTCTTATGTTTAGTTTCTATAATTATCTCATGTGGGCTAGTACCAAATAATTCCCTGATTGGCCCTGGTTCTTGAACTACACTCTGAGGGATACTGCCTTACCTCTCCTCTTATCCTCTGCCAGAACTCCTCTTTCTTACATTTAGGATATAAGTGAAGCCAACTGCTTTTGGGAAGGGCTGTATCTTGAATCTTATTTGAACACTGTCTCCAGTTAGGCTATAAGAAGCACAATTTAAAATTTAATTAACATTGTAAAAATTATTATTGAAGAATCAAGAAGCCATTCTTTGAATTACCCAAGCAACGGATCTGGATATCATATAGTATATGACTTTGAGAGATGTAGTAAAATTTCTGAAATCAGTTCCTTAAAAATCAGTCTGTTACCAAGACATGTGAGGAAATAAATGTCTTTCCTTTGCCAACAATTCCCAGATAATGTGATTGCTTCCAAATAAACATAAGAACCAGAAAAACAAAAAAACTAATCATCCTGGGTCATGTATTCCAGAAATCAAATTGTGCATTTAGCATTGCTAAATAGGATTATCAAATCATTGCTCAAATCGTAAACTTTCCAAAGTGGAAGTGCTTTTCTGAGGAGCAGAGACTCCTTCCTGCCCCCCACAAATTTACCATAGTTATGACCGAACAATGAATCTTTCTTTAGTTCTTTCCATAAACAGAATTGAACAAAATGAGTATATTAGTGTCATCAAAACTTGGCTTGGCTTTGAAGTTGGGATGCTTAAATTATTGTGTTGGGATTTTAAATTTCACTTACTAATAGATTTTGTGATTTTATTTTACTTGTTTAATAATTAATAAGTATAGTATTTTATTAAAATGCTGCCGTTATTTTTCTTTTTTTTAATTTGTGCTTCATTCTTTCTCTAAGTTCTATTTAATGTTTACTTTTCAGGAATTACCCAACTCTGTCTTTCTGGTGATGGAGGTAGGTAGTATATGTGCTGTTTAATTTACTTCAAATTGCTTCTGGTTAATATGTACTTTAAAGTGGACAGTAGATTGTTATTTGAAATTTTGAATTAATAAAGTCCATTTAGTGACTTAGATTCTACTTTATAAGGAATATATAATTAAAAATCTTGATACTATAATTCTTGATTTTTCAGGTTAGATTTACATTATATAGAAACTATTTTTAATTAAAATTAGCTGATCATGATTTGAATTAATCTTGAATCGGTTTCCTTATTGTAATTATCTTTTCTTTTATGTATCAGTACTGCAATGGTGGAGACCTGGCAGATTATTTGCAAGGTAATTTTTGTCTGTCAGTGTTCAATAAAGATAGTGCTGTGGTCTGTTGAATCCTCAGAGTTACTTCCGAAATAATGCCGACCCTGTCTTCTGCACTTGTACAGAAATGTTCAATAAATATTTGTGTATTTGTTTAAGTGTGATTGCTTTGCTGACCAACTGTTGTTTATTGTGGTTTTATTCCTAAACTTGCGGATAAGTGCTTCCCTCTCTCTGTTACTGTTGGAGAGATGGGTCCTCTCCCCAAGAGAGAAAAAGACCAGATGGTTCTCATCTTCAAGAGACTCTCCTGGGTTGCCAGCTGTGAACCTTTAGTCCCTTTCATTTCTTTCAAAATTAAAAAAAAAAATCACAATGCAAAAAATATATCTAAGAATGTGTTTATCAATGTGAATCTTTCTTGTAAATTAAAAAGTTACAAAGGATTAGTTAAAAGTAACATTGAAATTTTTCGTGGCAGAGGTAAGATTTTAGTACTAGATGGTGCTTGAAATTCTGTATCCAGAATGTGTATAGGCAGGATGGATATAAGGCATTCAGATCAAAATGTGTCTGTCTCCCACAAGTATGTTTCAAAATTGTGTTATATGAGGCCAGCTGTTGATCCCTTAAAATGCAAGGGAAATATGCAAAAAAATATCTCAACCTCTAAACTGGTCATGGCGGTTGGTGGTGACCCTAAGACTTACAAAGGGTGTGAACAGTTTACGAGAACATAATTAAAATGTTCAATTTCACCTAGTAATTAGGGAGTGCAACTGAAAGTGAGCTTTGAAAAATCTTTGAAATATGAAACATCACTGCCTTTCAAAAGCTGCATAGAGATTAATAGGAAGAGCCCTGGGAGTGTTGCCCCCGTGCCTGCTTGGTGTGGTGGTGGGGGAGGTGGCCCCTGGGCGCCAAGCTCCTTGCAGCCCATGGCGGCGGCGGTGGGCCTGGGTGTATAGGGGACAGCAGCGACCCTAGGACCCCGACGACCATGGACGCCACAGGGTCCACTGCCAGCAGAGCTCCCGCGGTCCGCATACATCAGCTGGCCAGCTGCGCACTGCAAGTGCCACCTCGGAGAAGGAGCAGAGCCGGCATCCTGTTCGTCCTGATGGGCGAGAGGCAGGCCCAAGGGGAGCCGAGACCCCACTTGGTCCCGCGCTCTCCTTCCCTGAGGGGACCGATGCTCCGAGGCTCCTGCTTACCAGGGCCAGTCCCACCGGCCCTGCCCGCTAGGGGCCCTCCACAGTAGCCGAGCAAGAGCGGCAGGATCCCTCCGGAGCCAGCACGCTTTAGGGAGGCACTGGGGACAGAGACAGTGTTTGGAAGCTCGGTTTTTGACTGTTGCGGAAGGAGAGGAGGGAGTGAGTGACTGAAGGGAGGAAGGAAAGGAAGAGAAGAAGGAAAGGAACGAAGGAAGGAAATTGGTAGCCCTCCCCCCATTTAAAAAAAACATAAATAGTGGAAACTCTGCCTGAGTCCTTCCCTAGTCCCACTCCCGTCCTTACCCCCTTACCTTGAATTTGGGAGTTTATTGCATGTGTAGTTTTGTGTTTTTTTCCAACCAAGATTCTTTTTTTTTAATCCTTATTTGATATATATCCATATAGATATAGACCTATATATAGATATAGACCTATATATATAGATCTATATCTAGATCCATCTATAGATATATAGGTCTATATCTATATATATAGATGGATCTATATCCATATATATCTATGGATCTATATCTAGATCCGTATATAGATATATATCTATATCTATATATAATTTTCCCCCCAAAATGTCAGTTTCTAGTAGATAGAGTGCGGTGAGCCAGGCACTTTCATTGACCACTGGCAGAAAGAAGTTCAAGTTAGAAAACACCCTGCTTCTGCCTGCCCAGTCAGAGAATCTCGAGTTCCTTGCCAGTCTCAATGATCCGGGTAAAAGCATCTTCCACTGGGGTCAGATTGAGTGGCTCCCTATCAGTTCGGCGCCCTCATTAGAGTATCAGTTTCCCTCAGTAACTAAGAAGTCCTCCTCGCTGATGCAGGCGCTGCTGCTGGTGTCGCAGACTTAGGTTAGCTTCGCAGCAGTTTCCTGTGTTATGCTGAACTCCTATTTGATATTACAGAGCAGGAGTGTTAGAACAGAGGACCTGCAAGTGAGGCCTTCACGGGCTTGAGTGTTGGAGTCAGATGAGCTGGTTTACAGCAGGGCCCCCTTCACAGCGCTTGACTGCTGTGGTTTTGTTCAAGTCCTTGAATCGCTCACTCCCTGGTCCTTCTCTGCCACAGTCCTTAATGGAATCCCTTGTTGTTTGAAAACACTTGTAAAGACATAGAAAAGAAATCCAGACCTCAAGGAATTATCCAGAGTTAAACCATCCAGTAAGATAACCACCAACCTCATGGGGCTATGGAGCTAGTCCGAAGACAACATGCAAATGTGAATATATTTGATTTTGAGCACTTCAAGGAAGAAAACAGTGATATCTCACTAAGGATTTTATGTTGATTACAAGTGAAATTGTTTTGGATGTATTAGATTAAATATATGTTAGTTAAACCCGTTTCTTTTTAGTTTTTAAAATGTGGTTACTAGAAAATTTAAAGTTACATATGTGGGTCATGTATTTCTGTTGGAGAGCACTGGTCTGGACGATCTAATGCTGTTCTAACACAACACGATCATTTAGTCCTTTTATTTGCTTTGATAAGTAAAATGCCATTCACATTTTCAAAGGACAGAAAGCAAATTCTATGGATTGTAAGTTAAAAGCATTTTAAATTAATTAGCAAGGTGTACTCTACCGTGCATTCTGGCAGGATTCATTGAGTGTGGCAGCTGTGCTGAGTCTCCTCCCTCTGGGCTAACTTGCTCAAGAATTCATTTATTTGGAACAATTTTGATGTTGGCCGTGCCTTTAAAATACTAAGTTTTTGACATGGGAAATTGAGTTTATGGTGTTGTGTTGAGAAGTATGCATTCCATGTCCATAGAACTATGTGAATATTTACTATAGTTTGTGTTCAAAAACAGCTTAAACTACGTCACTCATCCCCCTCCCCCAAGAACAGTGCTAGAATTTAGACTCTGAAGCAAATAAATTTTAAGTATACTCAATTGTATGTAATGAGGCAAAAATTCAAGTTCTGAGCAGCTGCAGTCATTTATAGTAGCCCTAGTATGAAAATGTAAATGAATGAAATGGAAAACTGTTCATTCTAATTTTTGCAAAGTAACTTAAGTAAAACATTACGAAACTAAAGATCTAATCATCTGTTTGACCCACCCACTAAGATCTGGAAGAATACACTCCATATTTTTAGCAGTGCTTATTTCCAAGGGATGGCATATGGAAGATACCACTTTTTATGTATTTTAGTGTACTTGTATTTCTTTTTCTTTTCAGTGAACATCAAGAAAAGAGCCCCAAAGGATTAAAAAAAGAAAAGTAAAACAGAAAAAACTATTTATAAACCATGGGGACTTATCATATTTGAAGATGTTGAAGACATAAAATGTCATTATAATATGTCTAAAATGATCTTAAAACTAACATTTCATTTGTTCCAAGTATAACGTTGTTTTTATCTTCTTAATCGCTTATGGAAAGTTTATGTAGAGCATATTCTAGAGTTGTATGTTCACATACGGAAGTATGTTCACAAAGGATTTAGTAGGGAGGGTCGTGGATATTAAATCCCTAATGTAGATTCAAGGAATCACACTTGTGACTTTTAGATCCATTGTAATAAAAAGTTTATCTTTGTGTATTGACTATATATGAATAGCTACTCTGTGCTAGGCTTTTTCTAAAGTCTTCATTGCTAAAGGTGCTATCTTGTTTGACTGTCACAACAACCCCATGTGGTTAGTCTGTTTCCAGCTTTTCTAGATGAGGAAGTAGGCCCGGAGGGTTCATCATCCAGGGTCATGCAGTGAGGAGGGGGAGGAGCTGGGATTTGGAGAGAGGCTGTCTGACTCCCGATCGAGCTGTTAACATAATGTATGCCCCGGCATACACACAGACACACTGGAGTGGCCACTGTCTTATGACTACCCTCCAGTAACATCCATACCATCTCTCTATAGTACTGAAAACAAGTAGAAGTGTTCCTTCTTAAAGGTGCCTAGTGATGAGAGATACTGTGGTGGGGCAGGAGTGTTGCAGCAGGAAAGACGAGGGAGAGCCCTGTGGGAGCGCAGACCCCTCACAGCTACAAGTGGTGGGAAAAGGTCCCACTCTCCATTCATTGACCCCACCTGCATTTAATTTGTGCTCACATAATGCCCGGAATGAAATCTGGATGTTTATCCCAGACCGTTGGCTGATAACAAGGGGCACTTCTATTTTAGTTTGCTGAGGGGCCTCCTGTTTGCAGAGTACCTGTTGTGCTTAGAGTCACGTGGTCACCTTCGCCGGTAAAAATCGGGGGGAAAAAAAACACCAGCGGAAACAAGAGATGCAGATTAAATCAGTACTCTTTACAACAGATGGGGTGAAACATTTAAGGTGTCTGCTCTCTTTTCATAGACTTAAATTATTAGAGTAAAACGGAAAAAAATAATATGACTCCCGGTTCCTCATTCCCTCTCTGTTCTTAACTTGGTTCTGTTGATGGGAGATGCAGATGGTATTTGATTTTGTGTGCTTAAATATTTATGCGATTCCTTTTCTACCAGCTAAAGGAACTCTCAGTGAAGATACTATTAGGGTGTTTCTGCATCAGGTCGCAGCTGCCATGCGGATTCTGCACAGCAAAGGAATAATCCACAGGGATCTCAAAACCCAGAACATCTTGCTGTCCTATGCGAATTGCAGAAAATCCACCATCAGGGGTATTTGCATCAAAATAGGTAAACGGCCATGTAGTGTTTGATGCAAAGGACAGTCTTGGGACTCTGTAGTTTTAGAAAGTTTTAGCTCAACTTTGTTGGAATGATGGGTTCTGTTGATGCAATTTTGAAGTTTTATTGAGTTCAGCAAGGTGCATTTGCATATGGGAGCCTTGTACCTTACTGGCAGCCTACCCTTAGTCTCAGAACCGAGGGGCCCATGTTGGGAACTCCAAACACAGCTCCCAGCACCAAACGCTGTTCTGCTTCTCTTCAGCGGGAAGCTGATGTATGGTCGTCCTAGATGCAGTTGAAGTACTTGGGCTCTTCACGGCTCATGGAATTATAACACAAGGGATCTAAGAGAACATTTAGATCAACCTTTCTTTTTTTTCTTTCCTTTTTTTTTTTTTTTAACAATTATTTGAAGCAGTTTGTAATCCTAGGTATTTTTTTAAGCTTTTCTTCGTGTGGTTAGAATTTTTTTTTTTAAACCACTATGGAAAGAAATTTCCGGAGGTACCTGGGTGGCTCAGTTGATTGGGCATCTGCCTTTGGCTTGGGTCATGATCCTGGGGTCCAAGGATGGAGCCCCGCGCTGGGCTTCCTGCTCAGCCAGGAGTCTGCTTCTCCCTCTCCCTCTGCCCCTTTCCCAGCTCGTTCTCTCTCTCTCTTTTTCTCTCTCTCTCTCAAATAAATAAAATCTTTAAAAAAAAATAAGGAAGTTTCTGATTTTATGTATTTTACATCTGGATCTGAAGAAGGGAAAAAAAGAAGTTCTAATTCTCCACCTGGCACCGATACTTAGAGCAGTATTAATGAATCGTTTATTGCAATTAGCGTTTTCTCTCACAAAGCTTGGTGCTCGCTCCCTGAGTACGAAACTGGCAGAGTAGGGACTTGTACAGTTGGTGATCACTACCCCTTCTTAGCTTGTTGAAACTGAGGTAGAAATTTTCTTCCTTGGCAGGCAGGCTTACCCAATAAGCTGCAAATTTCTCACAGTTCCTTTGTGCCCTCTTGTGTCTTGAAGGTGTGATCTATGTGAAGTGTGAGTAAAGGTATCTTTTGTTTTTCTCCCTTTTATTTTGTGGACTAGCGGATTTTGGGTTTGCCCATTGCCTGCAGAGTAACATGATGGCTGCAACACTGTGTGGGTCCCCAATGTACATGGTGAGTGAGTTTTTTTGTCCTTGCCTGTGTATATAGTGTGGTGCCATTAGCACTGGGATTTTAAGTATCATGCTGGTTTCCAGTTCAAGTGTGATTTTATGTGTAGCCTAAACTGTTGTATTACTAACAGTGATTGTATTACTGATAATGCTTTAAGTCATCTTTTGCTTTAAAATAGTGGACTATAAAGGTCACTTTTACCCATTAGCTGATTTTTTTTTAAGTAGGCTCCACACCCAGCATGGAGTTCTTTTAGCTTAAGTTTTTTTTTAAAAATTAGTTATTAGTGGTAAAAAAAATTCCTCATTAGATTAAATTGAAAATACAGATTGATGAAGTGTGGTCATGCTGTACTTGGTGTGTGATATTAGGGAAAACAACAACAGCAACAACAAAAACCCTCTTGGGCATTTCCTCATCTTTAGGGTGGACATGCTCATCTTTTCATGTTGTTTCTCTTGACAAGATCCCTGGGTCATAGAAGATTTGTCAGTTAGTGTTAGAGGTAAAGCTGAAAAATTGTAGTTCCGTCTTCGTCCTTCCGTACGGATGTTGTCATGTCTGAAAAGGGAAGGCTATGGACATTCCGAACCAGTGGGAAGCATCAGGCCTGGAAGTAGCTTAATTCTGGAGCTTCAGAATTCTGCCAAGTAAATGCATGTGCCTGTCTCAGTTCTAAATGTAAAATGGGCTTATGTTCAGTAAGGATTTCCTCTGATCTAAGTCAGTGAGAAGCTTACCAGGGATGACAGCTAAAAATGGTACTCCTGGAAAATAAAGTTTCCCTGGCTTTGAGCATGTTTGACATTTCTGTTTAATGTTTGTCCAGATTACTAGCATTTTTAAGAAGGAGCATCCAGTAAGAGGTGGGAAGAGAGCTGTAACAAAGCAGCAGAGAAGACAAATGCCTTTGCTTTTAAGACAGTCCTTACTGTATTTTCATCATAGTTTGTGTATTATTTTAAAAGCTTTCAAATGAGCGGAAAAACAGGGAGTAATACAGCAAACACTTGTGTACTTATTGTCCATTTTTAACAAAGGTAACATTTTGCCATGTGTGCCTTGATCTTTTTTTTCCCCAAGAAAGAAGTAAAATATTTCAGCAACAGCCCAAGTCCTTTAAATCTTTCCCTCTTCCCATATCCCACTCTTCTACCCCAGAAGTCACCTCTGTGTCGTAGCTGGTGTGTATTTTAATTATAACCTTAATACTCTTACTGCATTGCTGTCCCATAGTAATACATAGAAATGTTTGTTTGTATAAATTGCTTCTTTTCATGCAATGTTGTTTTTGAGATTTACTAGTAAATCCCAGTGTATGAATGTGGTTTAAGCTCACAGCAGGATCACCTGATTAGGGAAGTGTTGTAGTGTGATCTCATTTTAGTATTTGTTAGGAGCGTGAACTTTACCAGTTAATTTATCAATATTAGTAAGATAAATAACATCATGCATGTGTCTGGTATGTTTTTATCCCCAGGCTCCTGAAGTTATTATGTCTCAACATTATGATGCTACGGCAGAACTGTGGAGCATAGGAACAGTGATATATCAATGCCTAGTTGGAAAACCACCTTTTCAGGTAGCCTGACTTTATATCTGTGCTCAGTTTGGGGATCTTCTCATTTTGCAGTGGCCTTTGACTTAGAAAACAGGGAATACTTTGAAAACGGTGTTTTTGGTTCCCTTGTGACTTGTTTTGATTTTGTTACAGGCAGAAACTGCTATAGTGAGCCAGAACATCTTTTGCTTTTCCTTTTATTATCTGCCCTCCCTTTGTCGTTGGCCTGGGCATAAAGCTTGCTTTATGTTTCCCAGGCTGGTGACAACTAGCCAGGGACAGGACTGACACCCTGGTGGGAAGTGGTGTGAACAGGGATGTTCCACGCTTCCTGCTTAGCTGGGTGTGGGAGGCCCTGCACTCCACATGAGGGCTAGGCCTGGTCTAGGAAGATGAGCGGAAACCGCCTCCAGCTTCCTGGTCCTGGCACTACTGGGTGAGAGAAGGCTGATGGTTTAGTTTTGGTGGACATTATTTGGGGTTATTCTTCCCTCTTCTCCACTCCCCTCACATCCTGTCAGAAAGAGGCCCTCTAGAACTAATCGCGATGAATTCATACTGCCCGGTTACAGAGAGGTTTTTCTGAACCTGAAAACTGGAACAGAGTAAACAGAGTAAAAAAGGATGTAAAATCAGTGCCCCGCCTGGTTTAGACACTTACCCTCTCAGTCCCATTGGGTACAGAGGGGCAGCCGGAGGGGCAGGTGTGGGGGACGCCACTAATCCTGCAGCTCTTACTGTGTGGGAGGGCGGCATCTGCTGTCCAGGAGGGACTGAGAGGTAGCTGTTTGTTTCTTTCCCTTCCTTGTGCCCTTGGCAGCCCTAAGAGAAACATACCCTGATTTTACACAATAAAAATGTAGGTGTTGGGCCGGCTGGGTGACCTCCAGAGTAGTGGTTCTGAACTCTTCCTAAGTTTCGGCTCCTCTGGGAGGCTGACCTTGGCAAAGATACCCTAAGTCCAGATAGGCAGAATTCGCACAAAGTTCCAGAGGTTTTTAAGTTCCTAGTGCCCATCTGTGGCCCCGTCTGCAACCCAGGACTTTCAGGTTCAGAATATGTGCTTTATAGCAAGCATTTGAGCATGGATCACGTGATTTGAACTTTCTGCCCCCATTGTCTAGGGAATAAAACCTTGTTGTTTTTGTTTTGTTTTGTTTTTTAAACAGGCCAATAGTCCTCAAGACCTCAGGATGTTTTATGAAAAAAACAGGAGCTTAATGCCAAGGTACATGTTTGGTTACGCTGGGTTTTACTGTCTGTGAATGCAGCATTATTTGAACTCGTGTTACCAGTTTCCAGTCTTGAATCTTTCTTCAGTTGACAGTAATGGGAGAACATTCATTTTAACTAGAAATCCGAAAATTACTGGTGCATCATAGGTGCCTGGATAGTGCTGTACCATTTTTTTTCTTTTTTTAAAATGTAAAGTATATTTAAAAGGAAAAGAAAAACTACAGAAGTTTTACATGTTCTTGGGGGGAAGGGAGACGCAAACAGAACAGATGTGCGTGAACTAGGAGGTCAGTCCCTCCCTCGGTCTTCCCCGCTCTCCAGGATGACATGAGCTGTTCTGTACCTCCTGTAGATATGTACACGTACATGTTTCATAAAAATTACATCATACTTGGCAAATTGTTCTGCAACTTATTTTTACTGTACAGTGTATCATAGACACCAGTTAGCGTCAGGATATAGAGAACTACTTCATTCTTTTAAACAGTTCATAGAGTTCCATGGCTAAATGTGTCATATTTTGATTAATCAGATCCTTGTTTTCATTTTTTGGTTACTCCAAACAGTGTTTAGTGAAGTGTGTGTGTGTTGGGGTACACTCCTGTGTATTTCTTTAGGATAGACTCCTGGACATGGAATTAGGAGACCACAAGGGATGCTCTCCCAATTAGCTAATGCAGCACCACGACAGAGTTCTTGTTTCCCCACGGTTTCACCAACACGGGATGTTATCACAGCAGGTGACTCACAAACAGAAGGGGACCAATCGGCTCTTTAATTTGCATTGTTCTCTTTACTAATAAAGTTTGCGGTCTTTCACTTGTCTCTTGTCCTTTTGTAGTTTTTATTCTGTGAATTGTACCATCCTATTACTCATTTTTCTATTGGTTTGTCTTTTTCTTAGTGGATTTTAGGAAGCTGTATTATTTCTCACTCGAATTAGAGCTGTGCCCTTTTCCAGACAACAGGAGGTGGCTCTTCTTCTAATAGAGAGTTCTGGCAAATATGAGTGCCAGGCTGATTGTGCTTCAGAAGTGCTTTATGCCTGCACATACTCAGATAATATCAATAAGCACAATGCAGGAACCTCCCGAATGGATGCCCTTTCTCAAAGGCAGTTGCTTAGTGTTTTGTTTTTTGTTTTCTTTTTCTTCTGTAAGGAATGAGGCTTTACCATGATCTTCTTGGTTTAAGATGTGTTTGTGAGTCTGCATATACATTCTCACCATCATGAAGGCGAAAGTCATGTGGTTGATCTATATAAACTCCCCACTCGGAGTCTTTTTCTTCCTTTTCCCCAGTATTCCCAGAGAAACATCACCTTACTTGGCTAATCTCCTCTTGGGTTTGCTTCAGAGAAACCAGAAAGATAGAATGGACTTTGGTAAGTAATATTTTCAAATTCTGTATGCTTTCTAATTTGATTTTTGTGTATCCCCCAAAAAGTTGTTTTCAAAAAGATACTATAGAGTTTTCAAGAGAAAATTCAAGTCAGTTTCTTTCTTTCTCTTCATCTTTTTTCTTCCCTTATTTTGTAAATATTTATTGAGTGCTCACGATGTTCTAGATACAGGGGATAGAGTAATAAATAATAAAGAAAATCCCTGTCATCACATAGCACATATTCTCGTGCAGGAGAGGCAAACAAAGGGTAAAGTTTAATCAACGCACCATGAAGAAGGTGCTAAGTGCTCTGGGAAAGAAGAGGGAAGGGAAATGCCCATGGGGGAGGGATTGAAAGTTTAAATTCCATGAAGCCCCTTCTGAGGAAGTGGCCTTTGAATAAAGACTTGATGGATGGACAGCGGGGTAGTGAGACAGTGGGCGGTGTGCACGTCTGTGGGGAGAGCTTGCCAGGCGGAATGAGCAGCCAGTACAAACGCCCAGGGCTGGAAGTGCCGTGTCATCGGGAGGAACAGTTAGAAGACCAGTTAAAGACGTGGGCTTTTGCTCAAAGTGTGATGGGGAGAGTGTGAGCTCAGGAATAATAGGATCTGACCGATGTTTTAGAAAGGATCATTCTGGTTGCTTGTTGCCAACAGACTGTGGAGCGGGGCGGTGAGGACAGGAGCCCGGGGACCAATCTGGGGACTACAGCAGTTACCCCAGTGAGAGATGAAGGGACTTAGGCTGGAATAACAGCCATGGAAGTGGTGGGGAGTCCCTTGAATTCTGCATCATTTTGGAGGTAGAGACCGTAGTATTTAGAGATGAATTGGATGTGGGGTGTGAGAGAGAAGACTCAAAGATGCCTCCAGGGTGTCTGGCCTGGGTGTGTGAAGGAATCGAGTTGTTTGTTACAGACATGCTTGAGGCTCTGTGGCCGGAGTAGGCTCTGGGGCAAATCAGGGGTTCAGCTTGGATCTGTTAAACTGAAGACACGCATTTAACAGAGGGGTGTGGATGCCCAAAGGGCACTTGGAGTCCAGAGGAGAGGTCTAGGCTGGGGATGTATTTCGGAGATCTGGGAGGACGCAAAGGAGGAGAAACACTCCAGAATCCTGGTGGAAAGTCCCTGGCCTCGAAGATGGGGTTTCAGGAGACAGGCAGGGGCCGCTCCGTGGCAGTTTGGTTTTCACGGCGGTGTGAGGGCTGGTGGAGAATGGGCTCTGGGTGCTCCGCAAAGCCATGAGTTCAGATTCTTACATTCTGAAGGCGAAAGCCAGATCACTGATCTTGAGCCTTTCTTCTTTTTATAATACAATCATTTAAAGCTAAAAATTTCTCTTTTTTTTAAAGGTTTTATTTATTTATTTGACAGAGAGAGATCACAAGTAGGCAGAGAGGCAGGCAGAGTGAGGGGGGGAAGCAGGCTCCCCGCTGAGCAGAGAGCCCGATGTGGGGCTCAATCCCAGGACCCTGGTATCATGACCTGAGCCGAAGGCAGAGGCTTTAATCCACTGAGCCACCCAGGCACCCCTAAAGCTAAAAATTTCTAAGTATTTTAACTTTACATGGTCTAGGAATGTTTAATATTGTAGGGATTGTCCAGTTCTGGAAGGCTTTGAAAGAACATTTTCCCCTGAAATTGTCTGGGTCTCAGCTCCTCTTTGGGGGCAGTTTGTTAACTTGTTTTTATCAATCTCATGCAAAAGATTGTTCTTTTCGATCTTACTCTTAGCAGTCATATGTAAAAACAGCACGACTTAAATGTCAGACCAGAGAAGCTGTAAGACATGTACAGTGAAAATGCTTTTTAAATTAACCTTGATCTTGACATTTTTAGAAAGAAAAAAAAAAGTGTTTGATTTTTCCTATAGTAATTAGTTGTAATATTAATAGAGATTTGCAAAACCTTAGTCCAGAGTTTTGGTCTGTTCATGTGTGTTATGGAAGTCCATATAGGTTCCTGGATAAGACAGACCAGGGTTTGAATTCTAGTCCCTCAGCTTGCTAGCTTTGATGTTGGAGAAGATACGTGGCCTTTATGTGCTTTATCCTTGTCCATAAAAGGAAGATAATGCTGTGTGTTAAGTTTGTGAGGATTAAATAAACTGGTATGTGAAGCACTCAGTTTGTTGTCCTAGCAAATGTCCTCAGTAGACAATAGCTCTGGAAGTTTCCATATAGGGGACAAGGTGAAATAGTCTGAACATGTATTTTCTTAAAGCTTTGTAAAGTTGGAACTAAATTTCAGCACGTGGACTTGGTAAATATCTTTCAGGGGGAGAAATTAAATTGAGAGTTGCTCTGTAACCATGAGAAATAAGGGTCAATACTGAAACAACATACTCATCAATAATAGTTTTAAAATACTAGATTATATATTAAGTATTTGTATATTTTCCCTGCCGTAGCAATGGATTTGGGATGTGATTTCAGAGCATTTGCATTCAGTTCTTTGATATCTTTTCTGTTTCATCCCTATGATGTTCATTGTAAAAGTTAGCATTAAAAATCTTATATGTCAAACTATAATTTATGTATATGTATATTAATTTTTGTTCTAAAAATGACCTCTGGTAGAAAACTCATATTTTTCTTCAAAACCCTCTGCACTTCTATTCCTTAGCAAGTCTTGTAACTGATATTTACACGGAGTGGCTTTTGGCAATTTCTTTCGGTAAGACCCCGAGGGCCCACCAGAGTAGAAGATATGCTAGACTGACCCTGAGTTAAGCTTTTCCTGATCTCATATCTCGTCATTTAAACCCCATGCTGGTGTCACACCGCCCTTCTTGCCTGCTCTCTGAGATTTACTAGCATACAGGTCTGGGACTCCATGAGAGTCATGACACATGAGATTAGCTTTATGGATTTTTAAAGAATTAATGAAATAGTTTAAACACATGGAAGGTAAAGTAAAATAATGAATGGCCATGTCCTCACTGACTTATTTACCTTTACTCAGCAGTCTTATTATGTAGATTTTATCTTTGGTAGATAGCCAAAGAAATTCAATCAGACTTACATATTAAAAAAAAAAAATGTGAAACCAACTGCAGGAACATCTCTTCTGGGATAGAAGGATGGGATTTATTATATAAATCAGCTGCCTGGATTGCCTCTAGGACAGTTAACCCCAGCCATGCTTCCATATACACTTTGGGGGGTCTGCTCACAGCCCCCCGCCCCCCGCAGGAGGACAGCACAGGTCCCCGCACATGTCTTCTTTCGTGGAGCCTGCCGCGTTGGTAACGCGTGTTTGTGAAACTCACAATTATTATTTTAAATTGTTCGTGGATTAAGATTTATTTATAATCTGATAGTTTTTATAGAGGATTTATAAAAATCATAGGCTTCTACAGTGGAAGGAGATGGAGGCTCCATAAAGAAGTTATTAATAATTATTTATGATCTCGACACTGTTAAATACATCAACAAGATTACCCTGTCTGCTACTCAACCTGAGCTTACGGGTTGCCTTCTCCTTTTTCATTACAGAAGCATTTTTTAGCCATCCTTTACTTGAACAAGTTCCAGTGAAAAAATGTGAGTACCCTTTTTTTTTTGCATTTTTACTTGAAGAGTGAAGGCAGACTTAAGGAAAAATTAGTATTTTGTGTCACAAATTAATTTTTGATTGTGCTTCTCAAGATTTCATTGAGCTTTATTTATTGAATTCCAGTCATTTTTTTCCCCAAGTCCCAGTTGAAATAGTTGTAGTAATTGCTGCAGGTTTAGTTTTACCCACAGGAGCTGTAAGAAGTAGGTAAATGAATCTGGTCAGCACAGCGATGTCGTCGTTTCGACAGGTTTTCTCTTAGACGAGCTGTGTAAGTCTCTGCAGCGCACATCTCTCTTCACCTGTGTTTCTCCCCCCAGCCTGCCCAGTTCCAGTGCCCGTGTGTGCTGGCTCCGTCTCTGGGAGCTCCTGTGGCAGCTCTCCATCCTGTCGCTTTGCCTCTCCACCAGTAAGTTTTGGTTTTATTAACTATAATTTCAGAGTGAGTGCTATTGCCTCTGTCCCTAAGGGAGCCTGGGATACATTGTGGATTCCCTTCTGACGTGCAGCGTTTACTAGAACTTACACTCTTGACGTGCCCATTCCAGGGCTACTGCTGAGCTTTGGGCAGAGAACATTATTGTTGAGTCAGATGGACCCAGATTTGCACTCTGCCCTCGGTAGCTGTGTAAGCTTCAGCAAGAAATGTCACCCCCCGGGCCATTTTCCTCTCAACAGCGAGTATAGTACTCGCGACTTTTCATGCCACGTGGGTTGGAAAGCGTGACAGCTGCAGAGTACCCATCAGAGGCAGGGAGGTAGTAACTTTACTTTCTCCAACTATCATCGCATCAGTTTGGATACTTATTGTACGTAGAATTTCCCGTGGTAGTGAGTGACATCGGAGCCACATTCCTCGCACTTCAGTTCCCTGAATGCGGTGCCCAGCCCTTCAGGACTTGCTCCACCCCAGCCGCCTCCCTCCCCTGGGCTTCCCAGGCCATTTTCTCTGTGGCTCTCTTCCCTCCAGCCTAAGTGCTGCTTCTAGATCCTGAGAATTTCTGCTCAGTGCTCCCAGGGTTTCACTCTGCCATCTTCCGACCCTTACCCCACTCCTTGCTGTGGGCTGTGACCTTGAGGCTTTCCCATCAGCTGAAGTTCCAAGTGCTCTTGTGTCAGCTCTGGTGACTGTTTCCACATTAGCCTGGCACATGTGAATTTCTTAAATTCTGCCAGTGGAGGGTGGGGCAGTCATAAGAGGAAGTGATTGTGTAATTAGTGGGTTCACCTCAGAGGTTTAAGAACATGGGACTTGGAAGCTCTGCACCCCTTACTTGCCACATTAACCAGGACAAATGACTTAATCTCTTTGAGCCTATTTCTCATAGGGAAAGCGTGTAATTGACCTATTTCATAGGTTATTTTAAGCGTAAATGAGCAAAAGCACTTTACTATAATGTCTGGTACACAATACTCAGTAAGTGGCAACTGCTGTTACTATTGTTTTCAAGGAAAACCTAACAGCCCATGGCTAAGGCAGATGCTGAAGCAGCCGATCGCAAACAGATGAGTCTGAAAACCGGCAAGAAAACCCTTTTTGCTTAACCCTCCAGACTTAAACCAAGTTAGAAAAAGCAGATGGGCTAATAAGACATTATATTCCCCTAATTTTTTTTTTAAAAAAAGCTAAGAGGGTAAAAAAAAAAAGTGTTGTGCATTCCTGCTTCAGTCCGGAATATAAGAAGACACTGGAATTGCGGTGACTGGGGAGAAACGTGGAGGAAGTATACTGGCATGGAAAGACAGTTGGCTTTATTTGGGGCCAGGCCCCATCTGGCTTCAGTGCTGGTGGGGCCGCTCCTCACGCTTCACCTGGAGCAGCTCAGCTCCAGCGCTGAGCCACGGCCCCCTCTGTAAGGAGGGCTTCGTGAACCTGTGCTTGAACAGCAGCCTTGGGAGCGCTTGATAAACTGTAGCTATTATTATGAAGTCTATATTTGATGCCGTGTGAGATGTGAAAAGCGAAGTTGATGCTTGAGAAAGGAACCGCAGGGAAGAATCTAATTATGAGAGAGATGTGGGAGAGAGCCAGAAGAGAGGAGCCTATTTGTAGGATGACCAAGGAATGAGAAAGAGGGGGTCCAGTAGGAGGTTCATTGAATTGGGACATGGCTTTGACTGGAGAGAGCCAGTTGGGGTTTTCTGTTGGGTGGGGCAGCATTGAAGGGGAGAGAGCTCGGAGCTTGGCTCAGGCTGCTGACCAAGAGATGGAGTGCTAAGAGAGGTGAGGACATGCCAGGGGGAGAGAGGAAACATATTTAGATGCTAGAAACTTTGGTGGGAAAACCATTTTTAAAAGGCTTTTATTAAAAGCTAATGGTTGGGCACCTGGATGGCTCAGTCCATGAAACGTCTAACTCTTGATCTCAACCCGGGGCTTGGTCTCAGGGTCGTGAGTTCAAGATCCATGTGGGGCTCCACACTGTGCGTGGAGCCGACTTTAAAAAAAAAGGCAAAAAAAAAAAAAAGTCAGCTTGAAATGAAAATAAAAAGGGAAAAAGGAAAGCTGAGGAGTAAAAGGAAATCCAGAATGTTTCTGTATAATTTCCAGATAGTGAGAAAGGGGATGGTTTAATAGGCTTTGCTTTTAATGTAAACTGCCAAAAATAAGATGATTTTATGCATGCCTCCCCTTCCTTCCTATGGCTGGAGTAGACTCATGTGGATGGTTGATACTCACAGGCATGCACATACAACATTCTCTTTTTACATTCTCACGCAAATACCCAGCTGCTACTTGATTCCAGAGAAATCTTGGAAGGAAAAAAAAATCCAAATCAGTCTTTTAGTTACGATATTGGCTATAGGTTAAGTGCTGTTTAGATAATGTTTCTTGGTTTCATAACATTTATTAAACACCTAGTTTGTGTAAGGTTCTGGTTGATACTAACGAATGAAACGACCAGGTCCCTTACGTTAAGGAGCTTTTAATTTAGTTGTGTGGGGACAAGGTAGGTAAAGCAACCACTTTGGAAGCTTATGTGTGTGTCTCATTATTGCCTGTGGGAACATGAATGGGGAGCATGAAATCAGACCAAGAACTCAGGAAGGCTGCTCAGGGGAGGGCAATGAGCTGAGTTTTGAAGAAAGACCTAGCAAGGTGAATTAGTAAAAGAATGGTATTATAGGCAGAAGAATTCCCATTCATGAAGTCCCGGAAGCATGATGCCCTGAAGGAACCCTGGAGCCCCTCCGGGCCCACTTAAATTTGTTGCAATTAAGTGAAATTTAAAATTTTGTTCCTTAGGCTGGCCACATTTCAAGTGTTCAGTAGCCGTCTGTGGCTAGTGGGTCGCCAGCACACCGGGCGCTCAGATGTAGACCGTCTCCATCATTGCTGGAAGTTCTGTGGACAAGGCTCCTTGGAGCAGTTCAGGCTAGGGGACGCAGAGCTCTGGTGGCATGGGGAGGGGCAGGTGCAGCTAGAGAGGCAGGGGACTGCTGTCTCTTGACGGGATTTGGCTGTGGGAGCCGTCGGAGTGCTTCTAGGTGGAGGTGTGCTGTGAGCCACCGCAGGGTGGAAGCCAGGGCTTGAGAGCAGTAGAGAGTAGAGTGGTCTCTCCGTTAGAGCACGGAGAACCCCGCAGACTGTTGCACCTTTCTTGTTTAGTTTTTTTTTTCTTTTTCTGAGAATGAGGGCCTGAGCTTCAGGGAAGGTGGAGTCCAGGTAAGAGAAAGGTAGATTTCACCAAGCTTGGAGCTGCTTGAACAGGAGAACGAATGGATGGATGATGGTGAAGTCACTCGGGCAGGGAGCGCGGGGAGCAACGCTTTGGAGCAGAAAGGTGGTGAGTTAGTCCAGTGCTCACCGGAGAGATCTAGGCCGCGGAAGTGAGGGGGTACTTGGTGGGTGAGAGTGGTCGCTGCAGTGCGTATAAAAATGTGAGGAGTGCGGGCCGTGATGCGCACTGGGTGTTCACGTAACCAGTGAGTCACTGCACACCGCATCAGACGCTAATTACGTACGGTGCAGCAGCTAACTGAACAGAATTTTTTAAAAATGTGAGGCGCAGAGGGTTCAGAGTGGCACCTTGGGGAACTCCACACACCATCCCTCTCCTTTAAGGGACGAAAGAGAAGCAGGCACCCACAGAACAAAGAAGTGGGGGGAGAAGCCGGTTCACTGAACGAAGGGGTTGAGCGTCGAGTGGTCTGCAGCGCGGGCGAAGCAGAGCGTGGGTCACACGACGTGGCAGGGGGGGCCTGGCCAGCCTGGTGAAGACCGTGTGACTGCACAGGAGAAGGCAGAAAGCGGGTTATGGTGGGTTGAGCGATACATGGAGGTGAGGAGCTCGAGTCAGTGAAGACTGATAATTTCCAGAGACATCGTTAAAAAGTAAAGAAGTGAGAGAAGACGGTGATTAAAAGGACTGCAGGCATTTGAGGTGTGAGAAAATGGAATGTGTTTATGCACAGAGGGGAAGAAAACCAGAGGAGAGGGAGAGGATGAGACTGTCAGGGGCAGAGGGAGCTGGTCCAGGTCTCTGAGGAGGTGGAGGCGACCGGACTTAGAGCGTGGGGTGGAGAGATGAGCAAGGAGAAGATCCCTTCCACTCAGATGCTGTGGCTGCAGACGGTTTGATGAAGGCTTGGAAGAACTTGAGAAAGGGCCTGCCTAAACCACTGGAAAGAAATTGTGGCGTTAGATGCTTGGAATCAGCTTGAGCACTTTTTAGCTGTGTGATCTCAGGCAAATTTCCCAAACTTCTGAGCTCTTTGGATCCATGTATGACGTGGGTTTCAGAACAGGACTGGGGTTAGGTAAGACATGGACAGCACCCAGCGGTGTCTAGTCCATGGTAGTCTTTCCATTGTCCCTTCCCTTTATTACCTAGACACACAAGGTCTCTTTAAAAAGTGATGAGGGGATTGTATGTCATGTGTGTCACATACACACACACACACACGATAGGAGATCTGATACAAATTTCATTGCACAGTGACATTCGAAGGAGCGCTAGCATTGAATTGGGTGTTTAGGACATGGGTTTAAGATTAAAGGGCATTGTGTAGTATTTTTCCTTTTCTTAAATAGAAACGAAGGTTAAACAAGGTCATAGAGGACTTAACACAATAAATTAGGAAGTTCATTGTTTCAGAAAACCATTGTGTAACCAAGACATTTAATTAGAGGTGTCACTTGAGTCCTTGAACCAGGCAAATGCCACAGGACATACAACTGCTTACATCTGTCTATTTGCTTATATACCTTTTATATGCTTTCCTTTCCTTCCTGTCCTATCTCCTGCAAACCTCTCCTCCCCCTAACAGAAGAAGAACAAAAGGAATGTACCCACAGCCTGTAAGGTTTTCCAGATCTTGCTTTCTGTGAGCATACATAAATGTCTAGGCTTGAACGTAGTTATCCTTATCGATTTATTTACTTTTTTGCATAACATGGTCTCTTGCTTTCCTGTTTATAATGTTTTCTTCACTGGAGGTTTAAAACTTTTTAAAATGTGTGCAGGAGGTTATTAGTCTAAAGTCCCTGGACATAGTGTTTTAGTCATCGAGTGAATAGTTCTTGAGTACCTGCTTTGCTGGGCCAAGAGCCAAAACTGGGCATGTTGGGATGATGAAAACACACCTCAGAAATTTCAGGAGAGGGAGACGTGTACGTGATAAGTGGTATGATATATTTTTAAGTATCATTTTGGAAAAACATTTTAGAAGTCTTTATATGAAGACACTTTAAACTGTGCTTTTCTAAGGGAAAGATTTTCCAAAGAGATTTTTTTTTCCAAAATTTTAAGATGGAATTAACTTTATGCCCACTTTTATGAAGTCAGTATTCCTTAGTCTGATGGCTATTCTGATGTGCATTTTATTACTAGGCCAGTTTTAATTTTATGTTGTTAATTTTAGTCCCTTCCAGATATGCAGCATATTCAGGAAGAAAACTTATCCTCCCCACCATTGGGTCCTCCCAACCATCTACAAGTGTCCAAAGATTCTGCCAGTACTAGTAGCAAGAACTCTTCTTGTGACACAGATGACATTGTTTTGGTTCCACACAACATCTCGTCAGACCACTCATGTGAGAATCTTTTCTACTTGTACACATTATATTTCTTAATTTAGTAGACTAGCATTTATTTTTAACCTTTATATCATGCTCTCTCATGCAGGGCACCTTTTCAAAGGGGTACTTTATTTAGTTGTGTGAATTCCCAGAACTATATACTTACCATTCTAAAATCTGCTCAGTCATCTTCCATGAAGCAGTAACTTTGGATTCTGAAGGTAGATGAGAAGTTTGCAGGAAATGATCTCAAATTCTGTTTGTATCCACACAGAAAGAAATAGAAAAGTCAGCAGAATTAAAGGAAGACCTCTGTTGCAAAAACCACCTTAAGAGTCAAGGGAATTTAAAACCAGTCTGGATGCCCTTCAGAAGAGACTGGCATGAGGTCAGGAATGAGTTTCACAAATATATGGGGAGAATTTTTATAAAGGAAGCAGAATCCAAGTTGACTAAATATGGTCAGGGCTGTGAGGAGCAGCAAAGGGCACCAGAAAACCTACAAAAAAGAAGTTAGACAAAACTGTCAAGAAAGAAGGACCTGTGGTTTTGTGGTAAAGGAATGGGATCAGAAAACCTAGAAATTGGGTTCCTTCGGTAATTGAATAGTATTAAGTTGACCATGTGCAGGTGGTTGGAGAAGTTCGTGTCCAGAGGTCTATGTAGTTGTCAGATACTGATGGCACAGCTGCAACTGTTAGGCATCATGCCAGGTGTGAAGGCCGTCATCCCCAGAGCATGCGCTTTGGGGATGTATCCACTGGGGAGGGGGGAGCCGGGACAAGGATGCGGGAGAAGGTGGGTCGGTTCACCTTCGGTGCTCCAACTGCTGGGAGTTCCCTGTAAAAATCCAACATACAGTGGTTTTCTTCTATTTTAAAAAAAGAGTTAAGACTTTAAAAATTATGCAGTATTTCAAGCAGGAAATAATACAGCAGATACTCAAATCCACCCCCATTCTAATTTTATTTATGTCAGTGTTTAGCCATGTTGTTTTAGATGCCTCTTCTTAAGGATAAAAAATGCTATATAGGTACAGCCAAAGTCCTTTTCCTTGTTCCACTCTTGCCAGAGGTTAATTCTTACTGTAGACTTTTTTTATACTTCCGCATGTCCTGTATCTATAAATAACATATGGTGTTCTTGTGTTTTTACAGTTTTAAGTGAATGGTATAAGGAACGTTTCTATAGCTTGTTTTTTTATTCCTGTTTTTGTTACATTCCTAGATACATACCTATATATGCATGCAGTTTATTTTAATACCTGAAATTTACAGTATAACTGTATTTTATAATACAACTAAACCACACATTTTTCCATTTTTTGCTGAGGGTGACCTGGATAATTTCTATCTTTTCACTGTTCAAAGTGTAACAGATGTCCTTGTATCAGAGTTTCTTCCACATGGATGCTCTAGAAATTTTCAACTTCAGATCTATAAAATATTGGTACAGACAAGTTGTAGGCAATCAGTAGTTTGTGCCATGCTGCCCCAATGGAATAATGGTGACTTCTAAAGATTTTTTTTTTCATCTTTAACTTTACCTGGAATTCTCTTTTGTAGATGGAATAAGGTAGGGATCTTAGTATTGAATATTCTGTCCTTTCTCTGTTGATAGACAATTCCAGATTTGTCCTGTTAGGTTTATATAAAGAATTGGGTTTGTTTTAAAGTGTTCTATTCTGTTAGTCTATTTGTCTGTATTATAATCATTGTTAAATTTGTGTCTGTGGTGTGTGTGTGTATGTGAGAGAGAGAGAGAGAGTGAGTGGGGGGAGGGGTGATGGTAGAGAGCATTTTAGTATTCTTTGGAATCACCCTGGCTACTCTTGACTGCTTTTACCCCCATGTAGTCTAATATCAGCTTGACAAATCCTACAAAAAAACATTTGGGGATTTTGATGTGAATTTGATTGGTTGATTTTATAAGACCTATACAAGAACAGTTAATGATCTTTACAATATTAAATTGCCAAATCAAGAATATGTGCTTCTCACAAAATCATAGGGGTTCATAGGGGAAGAGAAGGAAAAATGAAATAAAAACAGAGAGGGAGGCAAACCATAAGAGACTCTTAACTCTAGGCAAGAAATTGAGAGCTCCTGGAGGGGAGATGGGTGGGTGGATGGGGTAATTGGGTGACGGGCATTAAGGAAGGGACTTGATAGAATGAGCACTGGGTCTTTTATCCATCTGATAAACCACTAAATTCTACCCCCTGAAACTAGTAATACACTATACATTAAGTAATTTGAATTTAAATAATAAAAAAGAGTATGTGTTTCTCTACTTATCTAGGTTTCCTTAATGTGTTTTGATAGATATTTATATTTTCCTACATAAAGGACATTCACATCTTTTGTCTTATTCTAGTTACCTTTGTTTTTTTTTCCCTTGTGTAAATACTGTATTTGATAATTTTTTTTTCAAAACCACTCCTGTTGAGGTCTCTGTGCTTTCAAATCTCAGGTCATTTCTCAGTCTTCAGCTTTTTGATGTATTTACAGCATTTGTTATCGTTGGCCAAACCCTTTTTTAAATTTTATATTTTTTATTTTTTTTAAAAAGATGTTGTTTGTTTATTTGTAAGAGAAAAAGAGAGTGAGGGCATAAGCAGTGGGGGAGAGGCAGGCAGAGGGAGAAGTGGCTCCTTGCCAAGCAAAGAGCCCAGTGCAGAACTGGATACCAGGACCCTGGGATCACAATCTGAGCCAAAGGCAGGTGTCCCCACACTCTTCTCTTTATTAAAAGTTTGTTATTGTAAAATACATGATGCATATATTTTTAAAACATTTTATTTCTTTAGAGAGAGTAAGAGCAAGTGAAGGGAGAGAGAGGGATCCCAAGGAGACTCTGTGCTGAGCCCAATGTGGGGCTCGATCTCATGACTGAGATCATGATCCAAGCTGAAATCAAGAGTTGGACACTCAACTGACCAAGCCACCCAGGTGACCCAAATATTTTATTTTTTTAGAGCAGTTTTAGGTTTACAACCAAACTGAGAGGAAGATACAAGTTTCCACATATCCCTTGCCTCCCCATTCTCAGCATCACTCACCAGAACAGTACATGTGTTGCTGAGGATAAACCTACATTGACACATCACAGACACCCAAAGTCCATAGTCTACTTAGAATTCATTCCTGGTGTTGAACATTCTGTGGGTTGGGAGGAAGGTAGAATGACATTTATCCATCATTATAATATACAAAGCATTTTTACTGCCCTAAAAATCCTCTGTGCTCCCCACCTGTCCCTTGGAAACCACCAGTATTTTTATTGTCTCTATATTTCTGTACCACAGTTTGTCCATTTACCTATTGAAGGACATTTTGATTGCTTCCAAGTTTTGACAATTAAGAATAAAGCTACTATAAACATCTGTGTGCAGGTTTTTGTGTGGACATATAGTGTGCAGCTCCTTTGGATATATACCAAGGAACATGACTGCTGGCTGGTATGGTAAGAGCATGTTTAGTTTTGTAAAAAAACACCAAACTCTTCAAGTGGCTCCACCATTTTGCATTCCCACCAACAATGAGTGGAGTTCCTGTTGCTCCACATCCTCACCAGCATTTGGTGATATCAGTGCTTTGGGGTGGGCTGTTCTGGTAGATGTGCAGTGGAGTCTCGTTTTAATTTGCATTTCTCTGATGACATCTGATATTCAGCATTTTTCATGTGCTTATTCACCATCATATATCTTCTTTGGTGAGCTGTCTGTTAAGATCTATGGCCCATTTTTCAGTTGGATTGTTTGTTATCTTGTTGAGCTTTAAGAGTTCTCTGTATATTTGGGATAACAATCCTTTATCAGATGTGTCTTATGCAAATATCTTTGTTCGGTCTGTAACTTATATTCCATTTTCTTGATATGGTCTTTCATAGAGCAGTTGTTTTTAATTTCAATAAGTTCATCACTAATGATTAATTCAATCATTAAATGAATTTCTTTCATGGATTGCGTGTTTGGTGTTGGTATCACAATGCCCAGGGTCCTCTAGGTTATGTTGTCTTCTACAATATTTGTGATTTTTCTTTTATATTTAGGTCTGTGGCCCATTTCGAGTTAACTTTTTTTTAAGGTATTATTTATTTATTTGACAGAGAGAGACATAGCGAGAAAGGGAACTCAAGTAGGGGGAGTAGGAGAGGGAGAAGCAGGCTTCCCACAGAGCAGGGAGCTCAATGCAGGGCCTAGTCCCAGGACCCTGGAATCATGACCTGAGCCAAAAGCAGATGCTTAATGACTAAGCCACCCAGGTGCCCCTTGAGTTAATTTTTTTGAAAGGTCTGTATCTAGATGCATTTTTGTTGTTGTTGTCATTCTATGGATGTCTACTTATAGCATTATTTTTTAAAGACTGTCTTTGCTCCATTGTATTGTCTTTGCTCCTCTGTCAAAGATCAGTTGACTATATTTTTTGAACGTCTCATTCTGGTCTCCCTATTCTGCTCCATTGATCTATTCATTTGTTCTTTTGCCAGTATAACACTGTCTTGATTACTGTAGTTTTATAGTTAAGTCTTGAAGTTGGGTAGTGTCAGTCCCTTGTCCTTCTCCTTCAGTGTTCTATTGGCTGTTGTGGGTCCTTTGCCTCTCCATTTAACCTTTAGAATTAGTTTGTCAATATCCATAAAATAACTTGCTGGGATTGTCATTAGGATTGTAGTGAATCTATAGATTGAGTTGGGAAGAACGGACATGTTGACAATATTTAGTCTTCCTATCCAAAAACATAGAGTATCTCTCCATTTATGTGTTCTTTGATTTCATTCATCAGAGTTTTGTAGCTTTCCTCATACAGGTCTTGTATGACTTTTGTTAGACTTATACCTAAATATTTCATTTTGGTGGGTCCTGATATAAATGGTGTTTTTTTAATTTCAAATTTTAGTTGTTTATTATTGAGATATAGGAAAGCAATTTAATTTTTCAGTATTAACCTTGTATTCTGCAACCTTGCTTTAGTCACTTATTAGTTCCAGGAGGTTTTTTTGATCAATTCTTTTGGATTTTTTTTACATAGGTAAAAAAAATGTTATCAAAAAAATTCATGTTATCTTCAAACAATAGTTTCATGTTTACCTTTCCAAGCTGCATACCTTTCATTTCCTTTTAACTTACTGTATTAGCAAGGACTTCGAGAGCTGTGTTGAAAAGAAGTAGCAAGAGAAAGAGGACTTCCTTCAGATTATGAAACTGTAATAACCACAGCCAATAGAAAAGTCACTTGAAGAAAAAAATGAGAGAGGACATCCTTATATTTTTAGCCAATCTTAGTGGAAAAGCTTGGAGTTTCTCACCATTTAGTATGGTGTTAGTGGTAGCTTTTTGTAGATATTCTTTATCAAGTTGAGACAGTTCCCCTCCATTCCTAGTTTACTGTGAGATTTTATCATGAAT